AAGGTTATTTTTTTTAGACAAGATGGGCCTCGTAATATCTGCCAAAACATCGCCCGGGCGATCTTTTGGTCCACATTTTTCTAAAAAAAAATCGAATCCTCCATAAGATCACCCGGGGCGGGGTATCAGCCGAATCCGGTGTATATGTATATATATATATGTATATATATATATATATATATATATATATATATATATATATATATATATACAGACATTGAGTGAATTTCCAGTAGTTATATTGTAAAATTAAATTCATAAATGCTCTACTTGAAAATGTTCTTCAAATCTACATATATCTTATCTTCAAATTGAATTTTGCCAAAAAAACTAGGATGCAAATAGTGATTACCCATAATGCAACATTCTTGATAGTGAAATGCATTTTCCGCAGGTGATACTGTCACCAATAATGCCTTTCTGAGTCCACGATGGGGTGGCATTATGCTTTACAATTCCCCAAGAGACACTAGTGGTAATGTGACACTGCCCGATACGGTTGACGTTGATATGAAGACAGTCATGGAAGTGTTTCTCTCACAATTAAGACTTCTCATTGGTGTTCCGAAACAGGTGAGTTTAGATATGCAATAAATATTAGAAAGTCTGTTATGAGTCTTTGTTACGAACCAAAATAATGAAATATAGAACACTGGCCAGATAAAAAAAAAAAACATTCTACATGTATTGTATGCATAAGGGATTCCTTTATATATGATATCCATTGTTCTAGGAGGGCTTGGATCTTCTTATTGTTAGGTCCAAACCAAGGTGTTTCCTTGATTGTGTCACAAAATTAATATTTTAATAACTGAAATTGTTGCTTCAACAACATGATTTTTCTTGTCTTGTGAAGCTCATGATGTTAAATTTGTTTCTAGTAAATTGTTCACATTTCAGTGACAACTCAACATCAGACAAATTTATAGACAAAGAAAATATGAATTTGATAGTACAATAGAAAGAAATAGAAATAGTATGTGTTGTAGTGTGTGAAGCAGGATTACTGTGTCTGAGTATGCAAATATACTGTTCAATTATTCGTGCAACTGAGTCATCTTTAAACTGACCACCTGTAAACAAGTATAAAAAGTGGTTGAGTGCATCAGCAGTAAAGAAGATTACTGTTGGCTTTCATATAATTTGATTAACCAAATTACTATTCAGAATTAATTTAATAAAAAAAACAAAAAGTAATTTACTGTGTACCCAGTAAATTTGATTTTGTATAATAATGTTATTTTTGTAAACAATATTGATTGTGCATGTTTATAGTCTTATGTCGTAGAGTACTGTAAAATCTGTATTAGAAACCGCGGCTTCTATTAAAATGATACAATGCAACAGAGGGGATGCGGCTTCTATTAGAGCATCCACACATATGAGAAATGGTGAATTTTAGATTCTCAATTATTCAAAAAG